CTGCCCTCGTGAGACCTCACCTGGAGTTCTGCGTCCAGTTCTGGAGTCCCCAACATAAGAAGGACTTGGACCAGTTGGAGAGGGTCCAGAGGAGGGCCATGAAGATGATAAGAGGGCTGGAGCACCTTTCCTATGAGGACAGGCTGAAAGAGTTGGGGCTGTTCAGCCTGGAGAAGAGGAGGCTCCGGGGGGACCTTATAGCGGTCTTCCAGTACCTCTAGGGGGGCTACAGGAAAGATGGGGAGAGGCTATTCAGGAGGGCCTGTTGTGATAGGACAAGGGGGAATGGTTTTAAAATAGAGGGAGGTAGATTCAGATTGGATATTAGGAAAAAATTTTTTACCATGAGAGTTGTAGAACACTGGAACAGGTTGCCCAGAGAGGTGGTGGATGCTCCATCCCTGGAGACGTTCAAGGCCAGGTTGGACGAGGCCCTGAGCAACCTGATCTAGTTGGAGATATCCCTGTTTGTTGCAGGGGGGTTGGACTAGATGACCTTTGAAGGTCCCTTCCAGCCCTAACCATTCTATGATTCTATGATTCTATATTAACACACTCTGAGTTCTTAAAACCCTCCAACTCTTAAGTGAAATGGATGTATCAATGGCTAGTACTAGTAGCAATAGTGTTGCAATTATTGTATTCCCTTTGGCTTACTTGGATGTCCAATTTTATGTAATTTCCTGTCTTAGCAACTATGTTATGAAGCAATTTTCGCTATCTCAAAAAGTTGCTTTAGAGTCACTTTTAGTTAATTTCTTGGGCTTAACGAAAGGGAGACTTTTAAGTATTTCCCCTTAACAACAAAGTAGATAATCTTGATGCTGTATCTTTAAAGATTATTCTGAAGAAGGAAGAAGAAAGAAATGAATTTTCCAGATTTTAAGTGTATACCTTTTAACTTTTTTAAAAAAAATAAATACTGAATTTAAAAAAACAGGATTTTGCCCAATGTCGCATGGAGGAAGGGAAATATCTCTGAGATAACTGTTCCTTCTCCAATGAATTTGAAAACTTGTGGTTTGAATTTCTTTCTCTTGTTAATCTGAGCACTGAAATTGTCAGTACTTGTGTATGGTATCGGGTGTTGTAGCAGTGCAACACTATTTTTCTGTGATTTGTTTCTCAAGTTTCCCCATTCCTATTAATGTTCTTTCTCCTTTTTGGATATACATCTCCTTCCTTCCTTTCCTCCCACTCCACTTCATAGGTGCCTTTTGATTCTTAAGCTCCAAAACATACTATTCTGGTACATATCACAGTGATATTCTTTTTGTTTTCCTTCTTTAGTATTTTTACAAGTTAGATATGGATGACAACTTCCTTATTTTCAGCGTTTGTTATTGGTTTTGTGGTTTTTCTTTTAATATTTTCATATGTGATTCATAATAGGGAGGAAATTGTTTCCAAGTCACACAAAGAATGGATTAAGAGTCCTGTTGGTTCTGTATAAAGAAGATCTATCTCTCTGTATTTTTCTGCCACAACATCTCTGTGTATTATCTTCCAGCAGCCAGGTTAACAGATGAAAAAGTGAAGCCGTGCATTGTTGCATTTACTTTTCTCCCAAACAAAATATTTGAGATATCTTCCTAAATAAATGTCAGAAATATGTTGCTCCAAAAAGCATGATCTAAAATTTTACTGGGCAATTAATTGGATAATTATATTGTTAAGAATGTTTTTTGCTAAAATTAACATTGCTGTTGTTTATATTTCTAAAACATAAAGAAAATCAGAGATGGTTCAAATTTCAATTGTTTACTCATTCACTTCCCCCATAGTTTTGAGTTATGATAAGTTTCAGTTCTATGAAGCTCATTAAGAGTTTCTAATTCTGGTAATTTCTTATACTTAACTTGCAACAAAGAAGCGGAAGGAAATGTTAGCCTTTCTGAAGTGAGTGGGAGTTTGTATTTTTATTTCCGTAGGCTAACATTTGCAATGTCTGTTAACAAGTATTGTCTCACTTCTTAGACTATAAGTTCATGTGTCTTTTGAATGTGTTAATGATTTTACTCTGGATAGCTTTCAAAAACGGCATTGCAAATTGTTTTTTCAATATATCCATTTGGTTTGCCTATTTTTGTAGTTCATACGGTTTTGAAAGAAATGGTCTCTATCAGAAATGATACCTTCATATCGCTTTAGCATGTCAAGTATGATTAAACGTTGAAAAACATCACTTAATAGATATTTTAAGCAAGTTGATTAATATTTTAAGCATTAAAAATAGAAATATTAGTAGAGTTCTCCAAAATGAACAAAACCCCTTCCCATTCAACCACGATTTCACTAATCTTAGTTGATACCAGTGGGAAACCTTGTTAGGGAGATAGCACTATTGCTATATCCCATCCGTATCTTAGATTCAAATACATGATTAAGAACTATTTCTCTAGCTTGAAAAATTAGGAATACAGTATTATCAAGCATTGCTTTTAAAGCTTTGGATTCACATTTTACCTATTATCACTGTTGCAGATTTTATACTGTAGGAGGGTAGACCAAATGAGGGCTTTTATAGTGTTGTGAAATTACAGGAAATTACAGGAGGTGATTTATCTAACAAAAAAGGAAAAAATTCCAACCGTTCTTGTTTTCACAGAGGAAGATAAATATGGTCTTTACTCCAATTTGTTGTTCAAGTATTTTCTCGCGGAGGGAGTTGTCTGTGGACATGACTTGTTTGTTGCTTCTGCTAAAGAGCATCCTGACAACATCTTAAAGGTAAAGAAGACTCATAGCTTTTGACAAGTAAAGCTGTAATCTCGTGATGAATTTAAATACATTTTAAACTGTATACATTGTATAGTAAAAAATTAATTAATCTTGGTGATTCTTAAGAAGTTGGGAAGTGCAGGAGTATTTACACTAGCCAGATTTGGGAACTAAATTTAGCTCACCAGCCTCTGTGGACAGATAATGGAGTAAGATCCTCCCAAGGCCACATCAGGCTAGGAGCCTACTTAGCTTTTATTTTGATTATGGGCAAAACCAGACAGACCAGCTGGTTTAGTTGAATGGTGTGAGTAAACCCAACTGTTTACAGTTTCCACCTGTCTATCGGGAAAGGTAGTTAAGCTGCTTCCAATATATTGTGTTGGAAACCGTGTACAATTTGTGTAGATATTTATTGTAGTTTCCTGTAGAAAAGAAGAATATAATTTAACATCTTTACAACCTCCTTTACATGTACTTTTCATCCTGAGTGTCTTTTTTTTCTACCAGGAAACATGGTCAGCTTTGGATGAGAAAATATGGAAAGGTTCCTTTCAGACTTTAGTGAGCTCCTAGTCAAACACTGATAGTTTCCATTATAAATAACTTATATAAGGGAAAAAGCCCGATCAACACCGAAAAAAATGCTGAAGTGTAAGGATAATCTTAAAAAATTTCATTAAATATTTTGTGTCTTTCTAAGGCTGCTTTTTTTCTAATATCAAAAGTAACATCTAATTTACTGATTACTTCTGCATCAAGTGCCTCACTATCATTGGTAGGCAATAGCCTTAAAAGTCTTCAGAGACTATTTCTGGACAAAATGATTACTTTTCTTTTTTCCTACGCAATGGTGGTAGATTCTATGGCTAATCTATTCATTATTATCATCAGTATTCAGGAAAAAGTATATTCTTAATGAAGTTATGTGATTGTGGTTATGAAAAATCTAGGGGTTTTTTAATGATCTTGAACGTAAAGAGGGTTCTTTTAGAGGTGAAATTTTTATCGTTTGTTCTTATGGTTTGGAATACAGCCTAAACAAATGGGTTAGGATTTGATTGTGAAGTGCGAATTACATAAGAATGCGCTATATTTTTTAATAATATATGATTTTAAATCACTGGTAGTCAAGTCATTGACTCACTGACTATATGATACATGATCATTGTGGCTGTTTTTCTCAACAAAATTTACATTACATTACAGCATTACATTAAAATTTCTTAGTAGCTAACATACCTTTTATTCTTCTTTTGTTCACCTTTGAGTCAGTTGTTCATAGCATGTCATTTTTTCCTAGCTCCTGTTGTTTATGCTTTTGCAAATTGTTACATACATCTGTCCTTCTTGTACCAGTTTGAATTTCTGGTCGGTTAGTTTGATGTGACTTATTGAGCTCTGTTGTCTGATTTCGACTGATTTTCAAGTTTTCCTTCTTACTTTTCAGGAGTAGACACTAGGTAATAATACTGCGTTCCTCCGTTGCAACTCCATAGTGATATTACTATAAGAGATTATAGATGGATGGACAATATTACTACAGGAAAATTGAGGAAAACATAATTTTGTCTTGTTTTCTTCCTCTGTTTGTGTGTTTATCCACACAATGTATCCAACTTTACTCTTGTCTGTGCTTCTCTACTCTTACCCTGACTATTTAACACTTTGTTTGCTTAGCAGACAAGGCACAATAGAGTTGATTTCTATGATTTGTATTGCTGTCTTGAAATTGCTTCAGTGAAATAACCCTGTAATATGCTGGGCATCAATCTGGCGAATTATGTACTTTCACTTTTGGAAAGCTTAGGCACTTCTTGAAATGCCAATATATGTTACCTAAAAACCATTATTACCTCACCTGGAAAAGTCAATGTAAGACTAGCATTGGCCACAGTCACAGAGGTAGAGGAGTTTTCCCTGCAACTGCCTCACTTGGCTTATAAAAGAAAGGAACTTCAGGTGCTTCAAGAAGTCTTCTCCTGTCATAAAAATGACCTGCTTGGCATTTGGATGTCTCCACCAAGTCAGGATTTTAATATAATATAACATATCTGACTGTTGAATAGCATTGCGTTTTATTTAATGACATTAGTAAGTAATTTATTTTCGTTATCTGATTGGACTGTATTCTGTACTGGAAAGGCAACATAGATTTGGTACATATCAACTTGAATTATACATTTTGTGATTGTTTTTTGTTTTATAAAATTAAGGTATGGATTCAATATATTATGTAGCTAGCATTCTAATTAACTGGTGTTTTACATAAAGATAGTTCCTTAACTGCCTTGTGTCCATATTGTGTGGTCAGTCTATTTATACATTCAGTTCTCTGCTGAGATGCCATAATTACCCTATTCTAATTTTATGATGTGATTGAAAGTTTCTTGAACCTATAACCAAGACAAATATTGCTGGTAGTAGGAAGGGGAAAAGACGTTCTTATAGACCATAATTATCTTGAAATTGTATATAACTAAAAGACAAGCAGAGGATAAAAAGCCCTGATCAGCTGCCTAAGATATGTTTTATTACCACCCACCAATTTATCCATCATCCTTTGAAAACATATTCATGCCTTTTGTAGTCAAAGCTCCTTCAGGAAATATGCATTAAGACGTAATGCTGAAAAATTATACACCTCTGGTAAAACCTACAGAACTATATACATGCCAGTTTTTAGAAAGTATTTTAAACATTTGAGAGCATTTCTGTTCAATCTATATTCTTCAACAAAAGGCAACTTTTTACTGTAAGGGTATAAGTACTGGGAATAGTGTACAATATAAGAAATAGAATGGTATATTTCTATGATCGATCAAAAAATAAAACTAATTGCATTGGTAAATGGAAAACTAATTTAATAGTAAAATGACTGAAGGAAACATTATATCTTAATATTCCATTTTCAGTACCATTCCTTATTAAGTTTAGACTACAAATTATGAAAGGCTGTTATGTGCTCAAGCTTAAAAACAGAGTAACCAATAAAATAGATTTTTTTTTCTTGTATCTGTTACCTTAAGTTGACTGCGTTTAGTGAATTTTTTTTTTTATAATTCAGTACTCTAAGGTTAATGTCAGCTATTTTGAAGTTGCATATTGTTTACGTGTTTGAGAGTAGAACATACAAATTTGAGTATATGAATATGTTTATTACAGAGGAAATCTTAAACACTGTTAGGCTTTTTGTGAGGAACAGCAAGCAAAGGGTTTGAATGTTTCCTTGAACATAACTGTAGCCAAAATTAGAACAGGCTTGCATCTACTCCAATCTAGGCTAGGTACCAAACTGATTTCTGGAAGCCATAAAAATACAGTAACTGTGTAACAGTTTAGTTCTTTACACTCCTTCTCCTTGTTAGTGCCAAGGTATGGTTCCAGTCTTAAATAATAAATCTGTATCTGTGGTGGCTGCATTTCCATATTTCTAACTTTTACTACTTGAGATTTGGCACTAGAATTCTAGAACTGCCTAAACTGCTTATATAATAATTTATTTGCCTTTTTTCCTGCATAATTATTTTGTCTAGACCTTGGGGAGGAACTGATTCTGACAAGTTTTAATGAGGAAAAAATTGGATTATATGTGCCAATTGTGAGTTCATCTTTACAATAAAGAGTGTGCTCTGTTAAGTTGCCTTTACTGTGGAGCCTGTGCAAAGTTTGTCTCAAGAGGAAGACTTACTGGTCATTACACGTGCTGGGAAACAGAAAAAAGCATTCCCTGAAGCCCAACAGTTTCCCTGTGGGACCCTGGCCAATGTCACCTCAATGACCATTGCATTGGGAACCTGGAAGCCTGAGGTGGAAGAGTGGGAGGTCCAGAACTGCTTTCTAGAGCTGCATCTGTTCATCTCCTGTGGAAAGTTGAAAAACACTTTGTGCAATTACTGCATTTTTATGGAATTTTCATTTTCAAGCTGGAATTTTATTACAGGGTACTTTTGGATTCTGTTGGGATTGCCTTTTGGAGGTTTTCCTACAACAAGAGAGGATAAAAAGCACATCCTTCGAGGTAAAAAACCTTAGTTTAACATAAGTCTATGAGCCTGCTGCTTATGGTGGGGATGCTTTTCCTACCTCTGCTATAGAGCGTCACCTTCTTAGAAGGAAATGCATTCCCCAAGATTCTACCCCAGTCAGGTCCTTTAAGGCTTACCATACTAAGGCATGAAGCGGTATTTACCTTGTACATCTGGTGTCATTGTACTTCCAGGTTTGGAAATGAACAATGTACAAACAGTTTACTCTCTGGAGAGCTACAAAGAATATTCTCTTAAGTAGTAAAGCCCTTAGTGTGCCCATGTATCAGATACACAGCTTCACTGTATATGAGCAGTATGCTGAGCATATCCTGAAGTCAGGTCAGTCAGGAGAAACCATGCTAATGGTCTAGGGAACCACAGTGAAAGGGAAATACACAGCATCTCTCGGTGAGGGAGCTGGGAGGTGCACGTAGGGAAGTATAATGGTTTATTAAAAAACAATAGGGACAAGATCAAAAAAACCTCCAGGAACAAGTTTTTTAAAAATTCCTACTGAGCTGAAAAGATCTCTAAAAGAAAAGTGAAAGTATATTTTACTTAAGCAAAATGCCATATTTATGTCATTTGGAAAAGACTGGAAAAATTCCTCCTTCATCAAGCTGGTTATACTGAGAGGACTTGAAGAACAGACAGTGCACACTTACTCTTTTCCCACTGAAACGGTAAATGCAGAAAGAATCTAGCACAAGATACTTCTGTTATTTCCAGGGATATTGAAAAAAAAAAAAAAACAACCACCATAAACAATCCACTGAGCTTCAGCATTGTATTACTATGCACGCAAACAACCTCTTGAAAGAAAGCATGGATGTCTACATGGACTTTTTTATTCCAGCAAAGTACATTCAACCACGATACTTACATTTTTGCTCATAGGTAAGACTCTAAAACATTGTTTTGTCAAAAGGAAGAATGCAAACCTGGAAGAAAAGATCAGGCTGGTGACTTGGGCTTTCC